TCTGCATCAATTACGTTTCTAAATTTAGCTTTGATAAATGGCTACGAGTGAGATTCCGAAGGAGGAATTTTTCCGTGCGGGAAATTCGAGGTTCGAGTGAGTAGAAGGGCGCCAGCATCAATGCTGTTGTTGTGGACTTTTGAGCATTTCCCAAATATTATATGGCTATCAGGTTTGCACTACTTCATAAAACAACTAGAGATTGTGAACATCCCAACTGGTGCTACGGGTTTACTACTGTCAATGTTGCCTACTTTTTCTTGCCGTTTAGTAATGTTTTTGTTTCCGTTAATTTCCTGAGTGCTCAAAAATATCATTACATACATAGTGGCTCATGATCTCAACATTTGTGCACACCTTCGTGACTGTATTCTCATTATCATTCGTTTACTTCCAATTCCGTACTCCTGAATTCAAAAGAATTTTTTTTTGCTCTGCTGGCATGCTGCTGATTTTCCAAGCACACATCAAGTGGTTCAGAGAAGCCTGTAATAATCAGTTTTTCTTTTTGTTCAACGAAAGATCATGAAGAAACAACCTACAACAAATTTATTTTGCTCACGTTAGTTTATCGGATCGGTTCATAAAGTGATGCAAGTTATTTATTTAATTATTTATGTGTATGTCAGTCAACGCTAAACCATACTGTGAATGCCTAAAAAGAGCAAAAGAACTGATCATAGTGGAGGTTTTAATCGGAACCGAATCATTTCCGGCATCACGAAGGTCGCTGACGGCGGTAATATCAACATATAAAGGTTTTCCGTCTTCTAGGAAAAAAGTCCGCGAAGTGCGAAAGTGACATCCGTTACAAAAACCGTCTCATGGTTTCATGCATATTAATCATCACGCTTACCACTGATAAAAGTCACCGACATGAGTGCGAACACCTTCATGACTTTAGTAATTGTTTACGCCAAACACTCACTCGAAACCACCCATATGACTTCGTTCAGAGAATCGTTCGGCGAAGTTGGAACTCAGCTCCGAAAACAGTACCCGAAATTACGACTAGAATTATAAGCCTCATTTCAAATGGGGCCTGGGGTCCTCCACTGTGTCAGGATCCGCTGTTATCCGGAAAACGTGAAGCATACCGCGGCTCTAAATTACGTGGCCCCTGATCAGCCCATCAGGTATTTTCAGTTTCTGCTTTCAACCATCTACAATCCCGTTGCATCCCACATTCTATCATTATCAGCTCTTATCCATTGTTATCGATTCCTGTCACTAGCCATAGATAGTTTCAGCCACAACCACACTTCACAAGTTTCTTGTTCCCTCAGCGTTTTCTCTAGACGAGCCCATTCCGATTCCGGCTTCATATGGCAGAGTTCTTCGTTGGAGTTTTGGTTTGCTTAATCCTCGTCACCCTTTTTCCCTTCTTCCTCACTGTTTTCCTCGATTAGTCGGTCCATGTACTCGTCATCAGGGAGAGTTTACTCTCGCTCTTCTTCACGTATCATTTCACTAACCATGACGTCTGTACTGGTCTGCTCGCTCTTTCCCATTTGGAGCCGGTTCTCAGTTTTGGCAAGCTCCTTCTCTATAACTTCTATGTGTTAGTTCAACGTCTTCATGTAGCCGTAGATTATTGGGATCAGATGTGCGTGTCGTGATCCGTACCGTCTTCGAGCCACTTCATTCTCTTCCATGCTCCCTGTGAGAAGGTCTCCTTAGTCTGTCATCCTCTGATATAATGAGTCGACTGTCAGGAAGCGCTGCGTCCATCACCACATCGATTCTCGATTCTCGAGCCACCAAGGTTGTTCTCAAGAACTTATTGATGAGGAGAACTTGTCCTTCTAATACCTTCTCGTTGATATGGTGTTTTAGTGCTAAGCCTAGTGTTTTTGCTACCTTGATTTGGGCGTGGATCTCTCTGAGGCTGTTGGTCAGGTCTTTTTTCAGCATTTCAGCTGAAATCCACTCCAGATGTAAATTGGACAGGAATGATATGTCGGATAAGTAGTTCGTTGACATAGCCGGTTATTGGTGCTAAATAAAAAAGAGAAAAAAGTTATCACTTAAAGTCTATAACTGCTATGCTATACTTAAAGGCACCTATCACAAAAAAGTTAGGGTACCCTTTTCTGACGGGAATTGATAGAACTACTCTAGAATAAAGCGATAACAACGAGAAAAGCGCAAAAAACGATGAACAAAAAGAATTAAAAAGGGCCAAAAAAGAGCTGGAAAGGGGGTTGGACGAGTTTCACGGTGAAAGAACGTCGGTTAGAGAGTGTTCGGGCAAGTTGGCAAATTGCCAGGGACGGCAAATTGGCAACTTGCCAGAGACGCAATGTGTTGTCTGCAATAGCATGCAACACATTGCGTCCCTGGCAATTTGCCAATTTGCAATTCAGGGTGGGTCCTGGAGCGATTACATGACACTGTGTCGTCTCGACACTCGTCTAACGTGTCACCGATCAAGGGGCGGAGGGCGACCGTGGATATCTGTCCGGCCCCTGATTGTACCCTATTCAGCCGTTTTCCGACCTCATTCCTGCACAAATGGTATCAGAGGGGGCGTCGAATTCAAACTATGTGCAAATGTCCGAAACAATATTTTTGTTAACAGTGCCTTTAATAATGTCATTAAATCAATGTTTTGGGAATCACTTTACTTACTTTGACACTTTGATGCTTTGATGGTCCATCGGCAAGAGGGTCTTCTCAGCGGG